CTGTGCCTAATATTGAAATTAAAATATATATTTATTAATATTTTTAATAAACAACCTAGTGATACTTTTGTTCTGATTTTGTTGCTGGTGTACTGAAAAGTCAGTTAGTAATGAGGAAACACATTAATCAGTCCGTTGATACAAATCAGCTTTACATTCATTTTACCTATAATGGTGACACAGTGAATTGTAAAAAAAAAATACTGTACACTTCTATTTCAGAATTAGTCAGTGTAATAGTGCACAATTTCCTAGTCAACATCGAATCTGTTTTATAAAAGTATGAGCAGTGAAATGTCTGAGCGCTATGTGCAGATACAGTACATGTAGATGGTAGCCAGGGCACAACAGCATGACTTGTACCACATCCTGGCTTATCATGCATTGGAAAAACACCCTGAAGGACACCAGTAGCTGAAAATACACAAGTCTCACATACACACCCGGGACTTTGTGTTGAACCAACATGTTACACGGTTTGGAATTTAATGACAAAAACCGGTACTGGTACCATCTCCGCCAAATCACAAATCTTTGTACGGCAGAACGTTACTCCAGGTGTGTGGGAGAGCCCTGTGCACCAGAGAGGGTTCCCTCGCTGCAGTGACTCAGTAATCCCCACAAATAAATGTACCTACTCTCTTCATAATGCTTCATTAAATCATGACACGCAGCTTTGAATATTTCCCATTTATCATGCTGATACATCGAATAATTTTGAAATCTAAATTAGGCTCATAAAAATAAAACCCCGAAATCTCACTAAAACTGTGCTTTTTGATACGAATGGGAGCACTGCAAAAGCAGTCGACAGTGATGGATGAGCCAAGAGACTCGCTGCTTTGAGGTGTTGCTCTTAAACTGCCTTTCACACCCACAGGAGGCACGCACACATACTAGATCCTGCTTCTGTGCTGCATATTCCCAAGCGCCTGTCAACTTTAACCCAAGGTGTTTCATCTCCTCTTGAATAAAGTTAGCAGGATCACTGCAGAGAAGGGAACCCAGATACTGGTAGTCTTCTCTTTTTTCCACCACACAGACTGCAGTGAGTGACAGAACAGATTTACATGCAGTCACAGCTGAGAAACAAAAAGACAAGATAAGACATTTTCATGCTGAGAGATAAGTGGATACAATGAACAAAGATCATCACAAATATATATGGAGACAGGCGGACAAACGTATGCTGGAAAGAAGACCAGAAATTAAAAGTGCAGTCTTTTTTTTTTTTTTTAATTGAAAGTTTGTGGACACCACAGCTGTTGGGGGACTCAAGCAAGAGTCACGTGCAGAGGGAGATGTCAAAGGTGAGCATAGGAGCCATAAAATGTTTGAGTGGCGAACCAGACATTTACTTTCACCTCGGCTCGACGGGGTCACTAATGGTCTCTAATGCTTTAGATAGTACTAAATATTTTGAGGTTATATGTGCTCCTGTGTTTCTTGCCTAATTCTATTACCTCTGTGAATAAGCCATAAAAGAAAACAAGAAGTTTATATATCAATTTAGTAGAGCATAAGGGACTATAAACATAAACAATAGTGAATACCAATCAGATGATCCAATTGGTATTTGCAGCATATTAATTAGCGTCCGCTCCTACATTGAATTTAGAACTCTCACAACAGTCACACGCTGGACGCCACACCAACAGTGTTATTTACACGAGAAGACAATGAGATTATTCCCATTAAACGCCTAGAAAGTTGAGCAATTACAGCCCCATGTCTCCACGAAGTGTGTTTTACAGAAAACTGCACTGTGTATTTCCCTATGGAAAGTCATAAGGCATCTGAGACAATAACTGAACTGAGCATTCAGTAATGCTACAGACTTAATAAGTCCACAACAAGTTCCAGTAAGTAGGAGTGTGAGAAAAAGCACAACTGGAACAAAAGACTCTCTTTTAATCATATATAAATTTAAACTCACAAACAGCCAATAATTCTATGTAGTCTTTATAACTCTTATTAATTAGTGGCTATTCAGTGTTATTTCCTAAAATGGCACTTCTGTATTTCTGCAGGGACGTGTTAATAAAGTCAAAGATGGAGGCTGGAGTATTAAGCCTCTTCATGCAGCAAAAAACACATTCCTTCCTTTATGCCAGCTTGCACAGGGAACCATTAACCAATAGCTCAGAAGTGCTTTTAGTTATTAGTGCCATGTCTACTATGAACATGGAGGGTGGAGATTTGAGTAGCCTCCTGCCAGAAATAATCTGTCACGCACTGGACACTGCAGCTGTTAAGAGATCTCTGTGCACTAACAGCTGAAGAGCTGTCTGCCTTCGTCATCACTGAAGGCATGACATCCATCCTCATCTGCCTCCTCATCCAGCTGGAGGCTACCAAAGGAAAACTTGTTCCTGGGAATAAGGGAGGTAGAATTAGCCTCCACTGCATTATCAAACATCTGGGGGCTGCTGCAGCTGCCCCGACTGTTCTCTACCTCAGACTCACTGGACTCTGAACCACTGGTAGTGGAGCAGTCTTTCATTTGAACTGCGCTCAAAGGTTTGACACCTGCCCTAAGTGTTTTTGCCCTGGACTGGCCCTGGTTCTACCTGGTGCTGAGAGGCCATTGGCCACCATGCAGTGCTCAAGACCAGCCTGAGAAAGGACCGGATGGGATTCTGGCGAGGACGCTCCCTGTTTTGGGCCTGTGTTGGAATGCTGATACATTTTGAGGGACTTCTCTAAGCAAGGAGAGCAACTGGGCATGGGGGAGTGCCCGCTCTCATCGAAGCGAGGGGGGGTGGAACCGTAGCCATTCTGCTCAGCGTGACTGAGAGAAGCTGCTTGGTGGAAGCTGTCTGTCATGGGAGTGGTGACGCCACTCTCCGAACCCATCACATGTGGGACCGTGAGAGGACTGCTGCTGCACCTCTCTCTGCTATGAGCACTCACATCCACCGTGGTGCTATGGAGAGGACTTTGGCCAACCCTTTGATATGACTGCTTGGAAGACTCATCCAACTCATGGCTCATGTTGAGCGATGGTTTAAAAGAAGACAGAGCCTCCCTAGACTGCATCCTGCCCAGAACGTGCTCCTGCTGGGCCCACAGAGCCCTGTTTATGCTCCCAGAGCTGGACCCCCAGTGACCTGAGGCCCGCTCTGTATAGCTGTGATTCCACCTACTACTCCGGCCCCCGCCAGCGCAATATTCACTATCTGTATCACTGCAGTCAATGTAGGGGATGGAAGAGCTGTTGCCTTTAACAGCCCAAGATGCTGGACCTGTACTCAGATGTTCTGGGTGGGTCTGTCGTGAGCCTCTTGTCTCCTCTGTCCTGGACATAGATCCTGTTCTGTCCTCGTGGCCATTCCTCTGGTGAGACGGGCTCGCCATCGCTGTCCGTGAAGCTGAAGGGTCTTCTGCACTCACCAACACCGACTCTTTCCAGTGACACCCAGGAGGAGAGTCGACGGAGGCACCACTCTGACAGAAAATAAACAGAGGCTTTTTATTCATGATTATGTTTAGCTTGGCCAATAGCTGGGATTGGCTCCAGCCCCCGCCCTCGACCCTACTCAGGAATGAGCTGTATAGATAATGGATGGATGGATGGAGGTTTAGTTTGGTTATTAACTAAAAACTGGTATCTTCAACTTATTCTGTCTGACTTGTAGGTACTCTGTGGAGTTTCTGACAATTTTAATGAGAAGGTCTTCTGTGTATAGGATGCTCTGCTAGCACACACAGAGGATGCATGTATAAACATATTAGCATGGGGGTTGCTGATGGCAGATGGTGACTGTAATGTGCCAATAAATGCAGCTGTCCATAATCTAAAATATATACTCTATACAGACACCACCAGTCAAAAGTTTTGACAGACATTCCCATTCAATTCAATGAGAAAATGTGTCCAAACTTGTGGTGGTATATGCATGTATATTTAAAAGCCATTAATATTGAGCAATGAAATTTTAAATGAAAACACATTAATGACCATAATAAGACTCATATGATGGCACAGACCTTGTGTGGCTATTTGTGCATATGTGCACTGAAAAACGGAGACACTCACTGTTGTTGGCACTTCATGGTGACAGGGAGAAGGCAACAGCGACAGGCGACTGTTGTGTTGGATCCGACTATGTTTTCTGGCAAACAGGATGTTGAAGGTCAGTGTTATACACTCTGAGCAGCACAAACCAACTATGTCAAACATGTCTGCAGGATTTACCTTTCGAATGGGATCTTTTTAAACTCTGTTTCCTTCACATAATCAATCACCTGCTTCTGTGTACGACCGCTGCAGAGACAAATACAGGAGAGAGAATAATGAGCTATTCAGACAGAGCTGTCAGTAGGCTGTTACGGGATGGGCAGAAACTGCTGTGTGCCTGCAATCCTGAGAGACAAAGAGCAGCTTTAGGAAGCAAACTCTCTTACCTGAATCTGAAGGAGGAGCCTCGTGTGAAGAGCACAGGCTTTGGCTTGGGCTTAGGTTCCTCAAAGAGACGGAAGAAGGCGTGGTACTCAACACAGATCTTCCAGAAGATTTTACAACAGTCCCTGCTGGCCATCAGAAACTCCAGAGTACCCTGATATGAACTCTGGTGCAATAACGGCAAATAAAGACTAGGTTTACAATGCCAATAACTGATGAGATTACATTTATTATACTATATGACTTTAGTGTACATGGTACTATTCAGCAATACAACTTACATTCAAATCTGGCCTCAGCTTGACAAGGAAACGTTTCCTCTTGAAGCTCAGTTTACGAATTTTAGACCAGTTGAAGGCATTAATCTTTGTGTGTCCCTGCGGTGATGAAAAATCTAATTAATCGTTAACTTTAAAAGACACTTCAACAACCAAGCCTGTCCATGGAAGTAAAGTGAGAAACACAAATGACCAAAGTTACCAAACCCTCAATGCTTTCACAGCCACATCTGTACCATGCAGATGATGTCTTACACCAATCATCATCTAACACACCAAACTGTCCAGCAAAGCATTGTGACTAACCTGAAAGACCAGGACACCAGTGTGCGCTACAGCCAAGCTCAACTTCGTGCCCTCACGGTCCTTGGCAGGGTGAAGGCGAATCCCATACATCTCCAGTCTGCGCGCCACTTCTAGTAACTGATAGTCTGATTCTGCTGGTGTTTGACCTCTGCAACATAAAACACAACAGTAACAAGTTAAAGCATAAACCTGGGAATAGTTTATAATGTCCTTATGAACAATACAAATAATAATTAATTGATCCTACTGATAAATGCTGTTTACTGTATGTAGCAAAGTGTAATATAGGTTATCAATCTGCAGTCAAATTATCACAATTACAGTTCCACATTTCCAGAAAAACTGCAAAAGAAAGTACAAGCATTGCACATTTCTATCCACTACTGACATGAGAATATCATGAATAGGTAGTGGTGCAAATCTTTGGCTTAGGTGCCATTTAATCAGGGGTTTTCAACCAGTGGTCCGCGTCCCCCCCGGTCCTGGAAGACACTGCAGGTGGTCCCTGATCATGCATTCAGGAACGTACTTTCACTGTAGGGATTGTTTAAAAACTATTTTCCATGTAAAAGAGCAGCAGTCAAACCTCAAACAGTGGAGAATGTGATGTTTGTGTTTACATTTATTTAATGTATAAACTGAGGAATGTTACAGCGTGTCCGCCATGGCCCATATGCATTTGATGTTTTCACCTGCCACCATTACTTTGTCAGATGCCTCCTTTACATCAGGATTTACTCACCAAATCGGTTTCCACTGCAAAGGCGAAAATAGCTATATGTGATATTTAGACTTTTCTTTTCATTTCCAGTGGTTACACTTTTATTTACACAGAAAGTAGCACTAAAAAAAAAGGAAACTTCACATTTGTGATTGTTTTTAAAGAGTTATATTGAGAACATTTAGGCTTTTCTGACATTTGTTAACATTAAGAAAACATATAGAATAAACGCAGCCTAATCTATTTATTGGTATTATACAAATGTAGTCAAGGTGAACTGAGACACACTAAAACTAAAAGGTTTTATTGCACTTCCTGGGTTTGACATTTTGAATTAACAAAAGCAAACATAGGGTCCGTTGTCCTTTCAGCAAAATTTTGGACAAATAAATTAAATCCTGGCTTCCCATTAATTGGGGTGAAAGATCAAGTCCAAGTTTCTCACGTTTATCTGAGGTTTTAAAGCAGCGGTGGAAAGTTAAGGAGGGGTTGCAAGTGCCAACTAACTTTCCTAATTCTTATCAGTGGAACCGCCTTGCTGTTTCCTGAGTGTGGTGCTTAGAAGATCTAACTCAGCAGGGCATCAGCTTGAAGAACTGCAGTTACAGTTATCAACTAAGAAACCCTAATCGAGCTTCTTTCATGTGGCAGCAACCGCCCACTCAGCGTCCATCTTTAGCACAGCCTACTGCAATGTAGAGGTGGGACAAGGGTCTGCAAAGCTTTGGCTCACGTTCAAACTGTTGCAGTGACAATTTAGACATTTTGAGGAAGTTTGGTAGGGGGAGACCTGGAAGGTTTCCAGTAATATACTCCTAGCAGCATAGCACTCCTAAACTAAAGGCAGGTACTAGAAAAAGTATTGAGTAAAAAGAGCCATGTTCAATAACCAGCTTCACTTCACACAAACGCCTGCCTTAGACACCTGAGAACAGACTAAAAATCTGGGTTTTTACTGTACTAACCCAGCTGATAACAGATGTGTGAGTCATCTGGTGGGTTGAAGGAAGCTTTCAGACCTCTGCTGTTGGGCAAAGCAGCCGTTTGTTGACCCAGGAGAAGTCAAACTCATACCCACTTCTAGCCAGAAGCTGTAAAACAACTTACAAAGCCAGACTTTTCTCAGCAGATTTATGATAAAGATCTGTACAGAGCACTCTGGAGAAAGAATCCATTCATTTGATGGCTGCTTTCCTGAATCTGTCACCTGTACAATAATACTTCCCTGCGGGACACACACAGTCTGAAACGACGTTTCCTGTTCAGCGGCTGAACACACTTAATTTGTGTTCAGCCAAGGCCTCAGTGACCTTAAGAAGAATTAAAGAGAAACTCCGACTGGAACCGAGGAATTCCTCCAGTTACAGAAACTCACATGTTCTTTGAATGAAACTCCATGATCTTGTCAATCAGGGGCATTTGATCTGGGATGTAGTTGTTGTTGAGGAGGTGTGACCGGCACTGGCTCTCCTCAAAGTCCCCGATCTCAGCTGGAAAGTAAGATAGGAAAAACAAAATAGTTCAAATTATTGATGAAATACTTGCTATAAAACACAGACAGGTGTCAAATTCCCCCCCCCAAAAAAAACAGGATTAAATGTTTTAATACTGTAAACCTTTGGAACAGCCTCTGTGCTGGTTGGCACAGAATGAAACGCTATTCACCTGAAAGATATTCACTCATATAGTATATTAATCTACATAAGTATGTAGACACAAGGGTTTAGCTGTTCTCCATCATGATTCTTTGACTATTGGGTTAACAGACTGTGGCTCAGAATTATCAGCTTATGAAACCAGTCAGAGCAGTTCTGCAACATTATGTTCAGTCATCCATCTGAAAGGTATCCATAGCAACATACAGCTAATCAATTTGCAATGGTGTGCAGTGTCTTATATGGCAACGTTTGATGATAAGCTCTGTGTGAAAAAAAGCATCATGCGTTTTCAGAGACAGCTATCTAATCTGTCACCACTTGGGTCTCTTGAGCTAAATGAAGAAACATTTATGAAGAACGTACACTGGATAATGTAGGAGACCATTAATGCGGCAGTGCTGTCATTGCAGGTGAGATGTCCAGAGGAAAGATCCTGTTTGATCTGCAGGGCAAACAGGTACCTGGACACAAACACAAATATCTTTCACATTATACAACAGGATAGCACTTGGAGCAAGACCAAATGATAAGCTCAAAAACAACATGTACTACTGGATTCAAACAGGATGCGCACGCAAATCGGAGAATAAGGAAATCCTGATCAAATGCCATGTATCATTTTACACAGGATTGTTTCAATTAAAAGAGATTGGCCCAAGTGTCACTTCTTAGTTGAATGAAGCCATTTACTGACAGTTTATTGATCGTCTTGTATTATAGTGTTGCCATTTATGGATGCAAACCGGAACAAAAAACATCCATGAGGCAACAGTGAACTGCACTACCATGCTACCCTTGAGCAAGAACCAACTGAGTGCCGTAGTAGTGAGGCTGTCTGGAATATTACACGTCATCACACATCAAACACAGAGACTCACAAGTCCGCCTTTACAGTCTCACTGCGTTTAAACTCCTGCATTTGCAAACTATTCTAACTGGCACTAGCTAAATCAGGTCACGCTAAGTGGAAAGGATTTTGTAGAAGAGAAAAGCACTATAAATCAAATTACAAGTTGGAGGATGTGGTGGTGATGCGCAAGTCATGGGACCGTGTCGTAGTTCATTTATAGCCTAACATTAGCTTTTTACATCTGGCAATCATATTTGGGCTTCACTGATCATAAAAGTGGTGTTCACTTGTGAGGATTATCTTGCTGAACAAAGTGTGCAAGTGTCTTAAATGGTTGTTTGTGACGGAGCTTATTTTCTCCAGTAATACAAAAGCCTATGGAAAAATCCCACTGGCTTTTTGTCGAGGGAACCAGGGAGGCAGAGGGACATTACTTGCTGCATGCCTATTTGTTCCTCACTCTGGCTGTGAAAACCTACAAGTCATTAGCTCCACAACAAAGAAACAGAAACCAGAAAATCATTAGCTCCACACTAATCTCCAAGGGGCTAATCAGAAACATGGCGGCTATGACATGCGAATTGCATAGCTGAGGAGGAAATAAATCTATTGGGAACCGAAGCACGTTTCATTTAACGCTTCTATAATCACTTCTAGTCAAAGTTGAAGTCAATTATATTGACATATTGCAAATAGATGCACATTTCAATATCTACAGGAACACATGAAGGAAGTCTAATCATGTTGAAAGGAGCTCACCTTGTCAGCTCCTCCAAAAGCTGGGCATGGTCTGGAGGGAAGAACTTCACAGCAAACCTCAAGATTGTGCGCTTCGGCCCTGCATGTTGTAATTACAGAAAATAACTTGGTAAAAGATTTCCTGTTAGACCTTGCTCAATCAAATCATACTGCAGAGTCACTCATAACTGAGTTTGTCTATTTTCTCCAGATAAAACAGTGAAGCATTGTAAAAATAGCCTTCAAAAAAGATGCAACAGAATACTGTAGTAACTGAAACACGTACTTCTGAGCTGCTTGATAATGGGCTTTATGTGGTCTAACCAAACCTGTGGAAAAGAGTAAAAAAAAAAAACATTACCAAGTAGCCGGTTTAAACAAAATAACTTCTAGGATTTATAAGAAGAGGCTCTGTTTCATGTTCCACTCACTCACCATCATCTTTTGATGGTTCTGAAACTCCAAGCCGAAGTAGTCACCCTCAATGAGGTTCATGTGGGAGCACACCAGGTCAAGCAGCACCTTGCCAGAGGCTTTTTGCTGTGAACAAGAGGAAAAAAAAAACCCACAATGAATTCTGGTTAAAATAACACTTGGCTGGCTTTTTATGACCATACAGAGTAACCATGTCTAGTTTTAATCTGAACTTAGGTTCTGATCAGTCCAGTCAAATGACATGTGGCTGTTAACACAAAAAAGCAGCCAGACACAAAAGGGAGCCAAGCTTTGTAGACTCATCAAACCCTGTGGCAGTTAATGCCACTGATATAGAGTAGGTGACAGCTCAGTCTAAATTCCTCTGCTATCTTCCCTCCTTCCATCCATATTCGCCAGCTGCTGCGGGCAGACAGGGGTGGACCCTGTCTTTGATCTGTGTTCTCAGTGTCACTGCTACCACTGATGAGAAACCAGCGGTCGCTGAGGTTGATACAGTATCAGAACGGGATAAAGACTGCATCTCCCTGACCACCTCTGTCCTCACTCACCCCATGTACAGTACAGTACACACAGACACTTTGAAGATCACTCAAGCAAACACTTTATGACAAATACTTGCAATGTGACATCACACAAACCTCAAAAACCGCCGCATAGTTAGAGAGAGAGAGAAACATTCTCACGTGAGGTCAAACAAATGTCAGGGATTTCCACAGAAACACTCCTCTGGTTACAGACGCCCTGAGGAGAGACAGATCACACAGTGGGAGAATCTCTGCCTGGCTGCTTTCTCGTGAACTGGTTTGCACCAGTGTGGAGGGTGTCACAGCTACAGAATGTGAGTGTTTATAGTAGCAGTTCCTGGGATGTGTCTGAGTGTGTTTTAAGGAAGCACTTTCTCTTCTACTTTAACACAAAATGAGTTGCTTAGGCACAAGCTACTACAAGATGAACTGTGCTGACATCCGTTTTAAAGGAAACAAACAACACTGTTCTTATTAATGCTTAAAGAATAAAAATCTAAGCTCTACCAGCTTAGTGAGAGGGTTTACCCTGCAACAAATGAACCATAATCTTCTCCAAACAAGCTTCCCCACCCTCACAGCTCCCCTCTGTGTCTGTCCTTCACGTTTGTAGCACCAATCTCTCTCCAGGCTGCCTCATGCCGCTCAGAGGGTATTGGAACGCTGTGGACCAGGTGCTTCCATATGGTGACGGAGCTGACGAGGGAGGGCCGAGGCTCAAGGAATACGAGCAGTAGAGAAAGCCAGAGACGGGCAGCACTTGACTAAATGCAGCTGTTGCAGACTGGAGTTATGCTGCTGTCATCTCACACTGCTGCAGCCACCACAATGAGAGCGCTGTCATTAACAACGCACAAGTCGATGACACAGTCAGAGGACACCATGCAAGACTGCTGTATATAATGATGAAACATTCCATAAGTAACTTGTATTATTCAATAGAAAAACTCCAAACATGTTAAGGTGATGTGAAAAAGTAGGCAAGTTCCCAAAGTATTTTGGCACTAAACATTATGTAGTTGTTAACTGTGGGTATTAATGTGCTGCTAAAACAGTCTCCTCCCTGTAGTTTATCCCCAAGGTACCGGGATGGGGTTGAGATCAGCGCTCTGTGCAGGGATGTCAACTTCTTCCACAACAAACTGAGAAAATGTCTTTATGGACCTGGCTTTATGCACAGAGGCGCTGTCATGTTCAACAGTAAATAGCATTCCCCAAACTATCACAAAGCTGGAGGCGCACTAATGTTGTGCCAAATTTGAAGAAATTCCATCAAGGCGTTCCTGAGATGTGATGTTCACAAGAATGAGACGCAAGGACGTACAACCTGAAAACGTAATGCCTCCGTCCATGGCTACAGCTGGTGTGGAGGCTTTTATAATAAATTATAGCCACTTTGAGTATTGCTCATATTTATATTTTGATCTGATGATATCACTAAATGAAAGTTAAGGTTTTGCCAGAGTTATTACAACTCATCCTTTGCTGAACATTAAATTCTGGGATTAGACTTAAATCTGGACCGACCAACCAACATTGCCATCCCCAGCTCAGACAGCTCACTTATAACTGGCTGTTAATTAAGATATAAATACTACTTTACTGAACTAAGAGCAACTTTTTATCTCCCCTACTCAGCTAAACTCTAGAATAAACTTGAACAGCCAATAAAAAAAATGTTCAACTGACAACTGTGCACAAATGCAGATGCTGCAAAAGCTGATATCATCTATCAGCATGTGGACAATTACAGACCCAATGAAAAGACTACCACAGAGTACCACAGTCACACACACCAGAAACTGACTCCTTCATCCCGACATGCACCGGACACGAGATGTCCATCACTTCCTCTGAATGTAATGCAGCCTCTCCCCCAACAGAAGGGCTAGAATCTTAAGGAAGCACCTTGCTCAGCAGCTGACATTTCTTTTATTACCACAGTGCCGGGAAAATGTCACCAATCGGCCTTTTTATGACCTCAGTTAAAACAGGGACATCCAATTCCAGAGTGAAACAATGCATCCCAGTTCAGCTGCCTCAGTCCCAGGCCAGACACAGAGGGAGGGCCCGTCTGGCCTCATTAGGTTTGAACACAGGCTCACTGGATGCTACGACTGTTTACATGTGTATGAGCGCTAGCATGCTCACATTGCTACGCTGACCTCCACATGCTCCATCTGACAGAGGAAGGCTAAGTAAAGATGAAAGCGATACCTACACATGTTCGCTTGTGTTTCCACTTCAGGGTAAACCACGTTCCCCAAACCCCCCACCTCTTGTTAGTAAGCTCCTGTCAGCAGCATAAAGGTCAGGGGTATAGTAGCTTTGTGTTCCCTTGACTGTTCTCCACCAGGAGTGGTTGGTATGGTCTGATTCACTTACAACGTGCCCACCAAACTTCTCCTAGGGGAATGTGGAGTGTGGTGAGTGGGTGCGGGGTGGGTGGTATAGGTGGTAAACAGACTGCCATTGCCTCTAGGCTCCCGATAGGCAAGAACAATAAAGGGAATCGTGCCTGGTTGGTTGGGGTGGGCCATTGTTGCACAGGGCTTTAACAATTTTGATTTTTTCTTCCTTCTTTGTTTCTTGGGCCAATGACACCCTGACAGATAATGCAGCAGTCATCTGTCAGCGGGAGGTTTTCGAGCTGTGACATTTAGCAACATCCCAGAAGACTGTGTGATTTAAAGAAGGGAACTAAGCAAACGGAGTACTGGGAATCCAACTATCTGCAGTGCTCATCTGATAAGACAGCAAACAGGCTGAACACAATATTGAAGAGCTGATTGTTCCATGATATATATGCCAAGATCCCTCTGAAAATCACTTTTACAGACTGAAAACAGACTTACGGAGATGTAGTTTCACTAGTTACAACTCTACATCGCACATGTGAAGTAGACGTGGCACGAGAAAACCACAGAAATGACTTTGGATACTTTGAACCAAGTGAACCATGACTCTTCTAATAACACTCCTCCCCAGGGCTGGGCTGAGATTACAGAACAGCTTACAGTAGTAGCAGGCAGATAAACTGAATCCTCTGGTGCTGTTATAAAACATATGTGAAGACACCGATGAACACCTATGGATTCTGTCACTTACAGCACTTCTGGGCACCTTTGAATGTGCTATGTTATGTGCAAATGTGTGTGTGCATGAGCAGGTATATACTGTGCACTGTCAGGGAAGGGTAGGACAGAGAGGTCAGCGGCAGCCTCATCTCATTGAGATTCGGGTCATGTGCCGCAGAGGTTCTCAGGGTGACTTGACTCCAGCAGGACGCTATCACAAAGAGAGAGAAAGTAATAGTGGATGGAGGCAAATCTACTGATAATCCTGTCAATATGCCTGCAAATCCTCAATGCACATCCGGATGGGTAACGATGTATGTTTGCAGCAGAGTGTGCTCATAATCAGGACAACTTTCATCATAACATGAGCATCCAAAGGCAGTGTTACATTTACAGGAAATCCTGAAATTAATTACATATCAAGACTCCTCCTGCTGTTCTCTCTTTTGCTTTTTCTTCTAAAACCCCCTGAGCTACAGCTGAAAACTATCAACACAAAATGGAAGGAAGAGTGATGACTGGGCTGCCACAGCTGTCACAGCAGGTCAGCCTCCAGAGCCAGAGAAAACTACCAGGAAAATAATGTCCCCTGGATTCAATAGGGAGCAGACAGTGAATGGAGGTAGCTACCATTAACAACCACCACCTTCTCATCATGTACCCCCTGTCGCCACAGCAAGAAGGTTCCGGGTTCGAGCCTGGGCCGACCCAGTGCCTCTGCATGTTCTCCTTGTGCCTGCGTGGGTTCTCTCCGAGTGCTCCGGCTTCCTCACACAGTCCAGACATGCAGCTTAGGTTGACTGGTGACTCTAAATTGCCTGTAGGAGTGAGTGTGAGTGTGAGTGGTTGTCTGTGTCCAAGTGTCAGCCCTGTGATAAACTGGCAACCTGTCCGGGCTGTACCCTGCCTCTCGCCCTATCTGAACACATCACCCCAGGCTGTGGAAAATTATAATGCACATTTTCCACAAATTAATTAACATTTCAGGTAATATTAATAAAAATTATTCTTAATTTTAGTGATATAACATTTTTTAGGCCTACATAGCAATAGAGCTAAAGGAAAAGTAATACAGCAAGCAGGTGTACAGCTTTCACCTGCATGTGACTTCTGAAAATCAGTGTAAATGTAAAAGCAAAGACAATCAATAGGTTGTTTAAGAGATTTATTAAGTGTAACTGCGAGGACAACTCCAACAAGGTCAGGTCAAGAAAGAGACAAGTCTTTCACTGCAATCTGAGTGCAAATACATGGGAAAGAGGTCATTCTTCATGATTCTGACACATTAAACGGCGAGTAGGCTGCAGCCATGACCTTCAAGTCAGACAGTCTTATTATAGACTACACCAGAGACCTGAGGAAAACTGATTATCAAGTGAACCACATTTTAAGATAACATGAGACACTGCTGTATATCATGAAGTTTTATGATTACATCTGATGCTCTGATCAAAAATCAGAGTAAGCAAATGCAACACGAGTTCATCTGAGAGAATCGCAG